TATTTGCCTCATTAAAATGCAAATCAATTTATAACATTTTTGACATGCGTTTTTATGGATTTTCTTGTTGTTATTCTGTCTCTCACTGTTCAAATAAACCTACCATTAAAATGATAGACTGATCATTTCTTTGTCAGTGGGCAAACGTACAAAATCAGCAGGGGATCAAATATTTTTTTCCCTCACTGTAACTGCCTGAGGTACACATTCTGACGTGTTTTTTTTTATTTGTATCCCTCTAACAGATATCCTCAATTGCTTAGCATATAGTTGTTTATCGGGTATGCTCCCTTTGTGATATTTTTAGGTTACGTCTGATTAATATAGCTATCCTGTATCCAGTAATGTTATTAATATTAATGAGCACATGGTGCTTATGTCTGGTAATAGCTGGCTTTGCTGACCTGCTGTTGCGTAAAAGTGATTGGAATATTACATTATTTACATGCCCTGCTGGGATTGTCTTTTCACCAACTGGTACATGAATATACCTCTTAAAAGTAAGGTATTTTAAAAAATGTGTAGGTCCCAGAAAACGCTTAGCAAGATAAACCAACCATATTCTTCAATTTGGTGTAAGGGGAGGAACCTGGTGTGATAGTTACTGACCTGCGTCATCTCGCGCTTACACGTGCAGTGACATCGCGGGAGCCAGAGATCATCACCACACAGGCTAACTAGCGTAGTAGCCTGTGTGGTGCCGGCCCGAGAGGGGCACGGCGTGCGACGTACTCGCATTGCGGACTTCACGTATCTAGCGACATCGTGAATGTCACTGAGTAATGCCGGCTCTAGCGTGGCACGGCGTAAGATACATTGTCATCGTGGACGCCCCGTAGGTGGGTGTAGTACCAGCCCTAGAGGGGGCTCGGTGCGCGCTGGGATAGCGCAGTGGGACTACACGTGGCGTGCAGTGCTGACTCCTACAGGAGGGAGTGTGAGAGTGTCAGCCATGGGATGAGGTTACCCTAGGCCATGGTACTCTGGTTGACCCTGGAAGGCACGTGACCAATAAGATCTACACAGGGGCCCCAGGTGGGGGCTAGGGGGTGGTCACATGTCAGGGTGAGATCCTGCGGGAAGGGTCGAGAAACCCCAGGAGGTTTCTCGAAGGTGGTCGTGGCCAAGGGCGAGACCAGCCACGACCCAGGAGCAGGTGAGCCGGGGTCCCCATAGGGACCGGGGTTGAGCGTTGCTGCCGTCATCTGAATATCTACAATCTCCGTTCTACGTCCAAGAAGAAGTCACCAACACGTGGACGAGGAACCAAGCCAGGGTCCTGTCCATTGCAGCTACTCCCAGTAACTAGCGTAGTTAGCCTGGTGGTCCACCACCATAGGTTATCTGGTAAAGGGGCAGTAACCCCTTTGTGTTAATGTGTTGGTGTTAATAAATATGTGTAGCCTCCAAAGAGTACGTCTGCGACTCACTTGAATCCACTACACACGTAAACTTAATACAAATTGTTGACTTAAAGCTTTTGTGACTGCAGGGATTCATACTCTTTGACTCTTTCGGTAAAGTCACGTAGATTAAAAAAAATCACGACGTTTCGATCGCAACACGAGCAATCGTCTTCAGGTGAAAAAATACAGCAGGCGAACTGCTGAGGCAGGAGAAATATAGCGAGAGAACTACTGCAGCAAGAGGTTACATAGGTTTGAGATGGGTACAACCCAAAGGTAAGTGGGCGGGGCTCGAGATGGAATTTGCAAGTAAATGTAAGATCGGAGAGCCTGATATATCTTGGTTCTTTCGCTAAAGTCACGTTGAAGGGAAACAATAAAATAATAAAATATATATAACAATAAAATTCTCACGAAGTTTCGACTGCAACACTAGCAGTCATCATCAGGTGTGAAAACCAACGGGAAGAACATTTGAAAGAAGTGGTGGTTTGTATTTATTTATTTTTAAGCGTTAGCACCACGTATAGAGATTTGACAGTTTGTTTAGATGGACGAGTCCATCTATGTTCGGAAAAGAGGAGAGAGGAGACGAAAAATTAATGTATGCTGTCTGAAAGCCACCGTAAGCATGAACAGTCAATTAAGACCCGAAATGGTTTATCAAAATCCTTCCAATGATTGCTAAGCCAGAATCCATCTTCTCGGTTGAAATTGTCTCTGTGTTTGTATATGTGGATAGCCTCATGAACGAATCTCTCATGGTAGCCAGATGGCTTGCAAAGAACCTCTGTCTTGGAGAAGTCAATGTCATGTGAGCCAACTGAATTATAACAGTGATCTGCCACGGTCGAGGTGTTGGTCCTACCGTGTTTTAGGTCTGCTTTGTGTTTAAGAATGCGGTCCGAAACATGTCGTTTGGTTTCTCCAATGTACTACCACAGAGGAAACTTAGTTTGTAGACACCAGGGTACTGTATGTCCGGAATCACATCTTTTACAGACGGAACCAGATCACGGATTTTATGTAATGTGTTGAAACGGACCTGGATCTTGGAAGGATTTGATAAACCATTTCGGGTCTTAATTGATTGTTCACGCTTACGGTGGCTTTCAGACAGCATACATTTATTTTTCGTCTCCCCCCTCCTCTTTTCCGAACATAGATGGACTCGTCCATCTAAACAAACTGTCAAATCTCTATCCGTGGTGATAACGTTTAAAAATAAATAAATACAAACCGCCACTTCTTTCAAATGTTCTTGCCGTTGGTTTTCACACCTGATGAATGCTGCTTGTGTTGCAGTCGAAACGTCGTGAGAATTTTATTGTTTTATATATTTTATTATTTTATTGTTTCCCTTCAACGTGACTACCGAAAGAACCAAGCATATGAATCACCGCAGTCACGAAAGCTTTAAATCAAAATTAAACTGCCATTGCTTTCTTTGTGTATCATAATCAATGGTATGCCCTACCATAAGTTAAGGTCAATTGACTACCAACAATATAATATTCATTGGTTATGACTCACCGCTCGCAGACACTCCTGCTCTCCACTGATGGAACATTCGTTAGCTGGATGACCCTGAGTCCATGATAGGGTGGCTCTATTTCTGTTCACTGGTAGGACTCACTTATAGTTGTTCGAACATTGCTTGTACATTCATTTGTGTGGACAACCTTTAGCACGAATGTCCTGGAAAATGCTCTTTGAGCAGCGATGCTCCTTAATAGGAGGATCACTGCTTTAAGCATGGCACATACAAAGCAGCATGGTGCATCACACCTAGCTGCTGCCTACTTAATGACGGCCGCATTTATTCTGCCATTATTAGGCAGCGCATGCATCTCAGTTTCAGATGCTCGTAAAATACTTAATTTTGGTATATTGGGCTTCCTTTGCTTCTGAAAGCATGTTTCCCTGCTAGTTGCAATATCCATGGATTTGCAGTTGCAGCACAGGGAATAACAGCAATAAAACGAAAACAAACTGGTCAGGCGAGAGTGGAATTTTGTTGTAATCACAGTATTGTAATAACAGTGCTCTGTACATGCAGACAAATCCCAAATGAGTCTCAAGGGTGTTTGTGCAGGAACATGGGGTTTTCAGTTCATCATTCCAAATCAGTTCCTTATTTATTTTTGGAAAGAGCTAAATAAACTATAGGATAATTTGGGATGCAAATTTATCCCAATGTTTATGTGTACACAAGTAGCATTTGAGGATTATTAATTTGCAATAACGTTTTGAATGAATATTCAAGAACAGGATATCTGACAATATGCCCTGTGCAATTCCACGAGTGCATTTGTGTGAATTTATATGTGCACGCGCAGCTGTCGAGAGTTGCCTGCGTGCGTCTGATTACAAGCGTCTTTGGATGTGAATGTGCTCGGCTTGCAATAACAACACGTGTACACCTGCACCGCGGCGGCATCTATTGCACAGCGAGAAACACATGTTCCCCGTCACCGAGGAATTTTGAGTGAAAAAATAAACGCGTAGATGTACAAAAGGCACACACTGCAGCCGAAATTCCAGTGTATTGTGCGTGGTTTACACCCGACCAGTGCACAAACAGCTATTCTGAAAAGGATTTGACCATATTCCACGGTGCTTTTCTCTCCTATTTATTTAAAGCCATCTTTAATTATCGCTCCTCTTGTCCTTTTAAGGCAGCACTTTCGAACGTCAACTGGGAATGATCGCCCACGACTTAAACCGAGCGTCGTATTTCTCACCCAGTTATTTTCCATTCTTGCGTATATGGCAATATGTTAAGGAGAAATATGCCAATGTCGAGTCTGGATATATTTATAGATGGGTTGAAAAGTCGTGTCCAAATATAGCTTACATACATATTATTTGGGCCTTTCGGTAAAGTCACGTAGATAGGTACAAAGAAAATAACAAAATAACCAAAAACTACGACGTCTCTATCGCAACGCAAGCGATCGTCATCGGCTTACATACAATTTTCATTTTTGTATTACATTTCATTTTCGATTATTCAAAATCACTTTTTTCATCAGTATAAGCTTCATAACCTTCTTTTATTCCATTATTTTGCATTACTAAAATATTACTTTTGATTTTTTTTTGTTTATATGACTATTTCCTTATGGCATCCGTTTACATTTTCCGGTTATATATACCTATATACATATACCAGTTATATATACATATATACCTATATATATATACCTCTACATATGTGTATATATATACCTCTACATATATATACCTATATATAGGTGAATATTTTTATATAACCATAATCTGACCATGCTGTTGGGAATATGTTTGGGCTAGGTCGGACTAGGCCGGATGAGACAAATGGGGCATAAGTTCTAAGTTTCCTGTGCCACACCTACTTTGTATTGAAACTCTACTCGGTATCCATGGTTCTGGCTTCATTCAGCAAATAGCCAGTGACAAACCACCCATTCTTTGAGGGGCCTGCACTGGCACAGCACGAATATACCAGTGGAAAAGTATTTAACCTAATCATGAGTGTAATGCTGTGCCCATCTCAAGGACGCAGACTGTGCCAGTTTCCCTGTTGGACTATCTCCCTTTCCTATGTTTCAGGGACCGGTGTCTTCATACCTGGTGCAACGCTATGGGTTCTCTCCCAATTGCCAGGTGGTGGCGTTCAGCGGTGACAACCCAGGTGCGTGGAGGGGTGGCAGTGGCAGCTTCTATTGTCTTACCAACTCCTCTCTGGCCCTAACACATCGAACATGCTTGTAATAGCTGCTCTCTGAATAACTTTGTCGGTTTTCAATACCATGCTCTGTGTTTTTAATACGATGGTGATGGATTGTAACAAATAAAGGATATGCCAAATGTAAATTGAGGGGCTTGCAGATATAATGAGTACAGTTTTTTCAGACCCTGAGGTAATTGGCACCAACGCAGAGATGGCTCTTGCTCCAGCAGATGACATAGAAAATGTGGCTCCTGCTGTTACTGCCGGTGTGCTGTTGCTGATGATGTTCTTGGTGGTGAAGTTGATGGTAAAGATTCTGGCAATATAATTATGCTGGCGATGGTGCAATACGTGATCTTAATTGGTGAGCAAGTCCAAATATATCTGACTTGCAAAGTCTATAGCATAGAGTGAACTGCTATCACAACATGTTGCTTGAAAACACTGTAATCATGGTGATACTATGTGCAGCACAGCACCTGGAGGACATGTTAATGAGTTTAATCTATTCCTTGTCTGACAGCCTCAGAATATTTTTTGGGATTTTATGGAAAAAAAAGTTCGTTATTACTGACTGCATGAAAATATCTACAACTTCTATTTCAGTTTTTGTAATTCATTTCAGTGCCATTTACCCAATCATAAAATTTCACCTAATGGTTTATTTCCGTGTCATTTTGCTTAAATAGCTCAGAGGTGACGAGGGGTTAGAGGAGGATAGAAAATTGGTGGTTGGGAATTTGGCCACTGCCGTGTCATGGCACATTGAGGCAGTGATTTAAAAAATCCATTGACCTTTCAGATTCCCACAGCTGCCAGGGTCAGAGGGTGTGATTAGATTGGGGGATTAGTGGATTCCAGTTAGCAGGGAGAAATCCTCCCCATGTTTGAGGGTTCAATTAATAAAACGATGTAACAGCATTTCACAATGAATAATGGAGGATTTATTACAATAACTTTATGAGACTTTTATGGAAATCTTAGAACAGTTTTTTTGCAAGAGTGATGAGACTCTCAACCAAGAGTGCCGTTATATTTTAGTTAAATTATATATTTGTAATGGGCATATAATCCTTGTAAAATAACCTCATTAAAAAGTATGAATATTTTGTTCATTTGTAGTTTAGATTTATATAAGCGTCTAGATACATGGGTACCAAAATACTTTGTCCCCGTTAGCAGCATATACACAGAGTTATTTATTGATTGAAGTACCCTTGTAAGTCATATTTTTGCTTTGTTTGGGTTCCCAACAGGCTATGTTTATGGTTTTCCTTTGTAACGAGATTCTTGTGAAAGTTGCAGCATGGAAATAAACAAATGAGGTAATACCCCGGTTTACGTTGGGGATGCATTCCTAAAAAGGTGTGACGAATATCTACATGATGTAACGCAAAGCAATTTTTCCAAATCAACAAAATATTTCACGTATATAGTATATTGTACTCTACAGTACAGTACATTTTCTTTGGGTCTTTCGGTAAAGTCACGTAGATTGTTCGAAGAAAATATTTTCTTTGAACCATCTACGTGACTTTATGTTTTCTTTGAACCTATCTACGTGAAAGCTTTAAGTCAAGATTTAGTACAGTACATTTCTTAATGTGCGGCGCAAAGTAGTTCGTCTCCAGGGTAGGTCGATGTGAAGGCCGAGGCGACGGATATGAGAATGGACGGATGATGCCGTCAGCGACGTAAGTGTGGGTTGAGGCGACGCAAATCAGTTGGTGGTATTAATAAAGTGACGACGTATTTGTCAAATTAGGTAAAAGGGTGGGGAGACATAAATCGGGGTATTACTGTATAATGATTACTATGGTGAAGATGTCGGTGCTGATGATGAAGATGGTGATATAGAGAGTAGCATTGTATCATCTTAATCATGTGCCATGGCCCTTTGCAACAGGTTCCTTGGCTGGCATGAGACTCCAAGCAGGCGACATTGCGGTAAGGCTCCTAGTGTCTGTGCTGTACTTTTGTTTTTCAGCAATTCTGTTGATAAGAATTGTTGTAATAATTGGGAAGAATGAGTATTAGCAGTACAAGTGTAGAGGTGTTACGGGAGGGGGACACGCGATTGTAGGGCGGTGGCCACAAACACGTCCTCTACGGCCACCACCCTGGGGGGCTGTGGGGGACGCTGTGATCCCTCCCAGCCCCAACCCTCACTGAGGGACAGTATAAAAGGGTGGGACCCGGGGAGCTGAGGGGCAATTCGACTCAAGCAAGATGAAGAGCCAGTGAATAAAGAAGATCGACTAGCCAGACCCTGGAACTCTTTTGGCCCGATGTCCTTCTGAGGGCCGGACTCGTGTGGCTGGTGATCGGGACCTGCGCCGAAGCTGGGCCAGGTCAGACAGCCTCCTGAGAGAGGACCAGGATAGAGGGAACCAGGGAGCTAGCGTGGGCTAAGGCTCGGGGAACGTTCCCTCTATAGAGTACGGGTGAAGAGGCCGTTACCTCTTCAAGTATCAGATTCGCCACTGTAATTGAAGCGTCTGTAATAAAAACGTGTCGCCTCCAATGAACAGTCTCCGTCGTCAATAAGGCCACTGCACATGCATGCAAATAAATACATTTTTGTTCCATCAGCCTATTGGACTTCAGGAGAAATGTTTTCTCGTGCTATTTACTAAAATAAATTTGCTCCCAACAGTCTATCCCACCTAATCAGATTCACCCAAAAGTAATTGCATGATGTGGTGACATTGTAACACATCATGACTCACTCAAAAAAGTACACCTCAGTATCACTGCTTAAACCTCATGTCATTTGCCCAAGAAATACAAATCAGGTGTGTCTTTTTTAACAACCCATCCGTGATGGGTTGTTAAAACATCTGGCTCTCAAAAAGGCAGTATGAGTGTATGCACAATATTTTTAACAGTGGAAATATGATCTCTGAGTGATCATAGTAATCCATGGACATATCTCGCTATATATTGGATCATAAGAAGTTACTTGAGCCCTAATTATTCATAATGTCACAATTATTCATGTGTTGCCCACAATTTCAGTCATTAAAATAGGTTTGTTGCCAAGTAATTGTCTCTACAAGTAAGCCATTCAGATAATTATTAATTGCCTTTTGTAGCATGCTGCAGTTTGTTTTATATATCACGGAATATATATGTACACACACACACACCTCAGTAAATTACATTTTCTTGGAAACCATTAATGCCCGCGGTTTCCCTTTTCTAGAGGTCTTGACCTCAGATTGTGTCTTACCTTTGTAGTTTTTTTGTGGTAGAGTGTGTGGCTTTTGTAGAAAGGAGATACAAGTGCATGCATACAGACTGTATACAGGCACTAGACATGTTTTTATTTAACAGGCGGGCCACTCCAACTCATGAGACCTCACCTTACCTGCTTTGAACCAGAAGTCTGAAATGTTTCCTTCTAATGGCAGAACACTTTTTCTGTAACACAATTTTTATTTTAAAATCCACAATGTTAATGGTTTCACTCTGGTCACAAACTAATGTCTAAAAAAAAACCCATCGCATACAATTTGAGTTTTATTGGCTAATTTCCACCTCTGTGAATGAAACAATATCAATTTGACTGTTGTGTCGATTACTCTCATCGGCAGGGTGTGTGAGAAAATGCTGCCCCCTGTTTTGTGGCACAGGTCACTTGAAGGGATCTCAGAGGTAGCTCCGTGATATCTGCTTCTGTGTGCCATTATCTAAAACGAAGGGTTGCACTGCACTGTGAGAAGTCTGAATTGACGCTTAGTCTCTTCACATGACGGAGTTAGTACAACTGGAACAGAATTGGGGGAAATATGTTTTATAATGCAGCACGTTCATCAATAGCACTGCCTTAAAACATTGAACTCGTACTCATACGTGGTGGGTAAATATTTCTGCCACTGACCTTTTTCGCGTTCATAGGATTTGTGTCGCTGATAATGCTGCAAGATTGTCACAAATTCTCCAGAGGTTCCCATCCATCATTGACATCTCTTTGAGTCAGAATATCAAAACATTTAACTTTGCATGTACAACAAAATAAACATTGTGGCACTTGTAGTAAATGCAAAGGCTGTGCTTATTCATGTATTGGTTTGTAATTCTATAAGGCTCTATTAGAATAAAAATTACCACCTGTAATTTTCCTGTGCATATGTTAAAGCTAATACCTGTATTAGGGGAGGCTGGGTGGCTCAGCAAGGCATATAATTGTTGTGCCATTGCACTGGCGAGCACTACTATGCTTAGCAGCTCAAATATGGGCGACCAATGTATCTAAACCAGGTTTTCGAACTATGAATATTTCTGGCATCGACCCTCCTGATCAAAGGCCATTTCCCAAAAAGGCCATTGTGAGGTTTTTTTTTGTTTGTACCCCACTGGCAGCAGTCTATTAACTGTAATTACAATGTCATATGCACTTGGGTTGTTCTCTTAGATCTAGCCTAGCCCTGAGCACGAATGAGTTCAGTCCGACGTTGATTGAGAGGAGAACGTTGAAGTCACGGCAGACATAATTAAGAGGGGTAATCTTTCGGGTACCATTTCTTGTTGATCGCATGAGGCTTCACTGACTACTGAAATTACAGAAGGATATTTTTTATCGTGTAAAATTCCTGCTGTAGCACTACATTTGAACGTTTTCCCTACTCAAATGAGAATGCGGTGGTGCTTATCCTCTGTCATAGACTCGTGGTCGTTCCTTCCACTTGCACTTTCTGGTGAGAGTGACTCGGGTTCAAATTAACTGTAAATGTGATTTCATTGAAGTGATGGTCAGAAGTAATTTGTAAATACTTCGTAATTTGTAACGTATTACATGTTAGTTATATGCTTTAGGTGGTAATTACATGAAAATGTAAATATATACTTTTATTATTTTTTTTAAGTTTGCTGGACATCCCCCATAACCAGAAAGACTCTCCCCCTAAGTAGTCCGACTTCGAGAGGTTTTATTCTCTCTGCATTAATAAGCAGATTATATAGCCTTTGGTGTTTGATCAATAAATTCGGCAAAGTACTGCTTTAATTTATTAATGGACGCCTCCTATTAGTCTCTACATTATGTGTACAGTTCTGCTCATTGCTTTGCTATTTTGCTATTCCCCGTGGCATTTGTTGAGCGGCTGCCTGGCACCATTTGTTACTGATCTTTTAGTCATATTTCCAGTTCACCTGCAGTGCTGGTATTGTCAACTTGCGTTCCAAAAAATATATTGTGAGCAGAGTGCAAACTAATAGTGCAGTGAACCATCGCTTCCCCCGAACCCTCAACATAACAAAAGACGGATTAACTTAGCCCCGCAGGCCATCGTCGTCCATCGCCCCCTGCTTGGCTCCTCTCCCCCCCCCCCCCCCCCCTTGACCTGTATATAAGCTCGAGGGTCTCAGAGCTCCCCACTTGATGCAGCTGTCTTGCTGTGACCGTTCCACCTGAAGATGGAAGCTTGTGTTGCCTCCGAAACGTCGTGATTTAATTTAGTTGTTTTTTTTTACATTTTATTTTACCTACGTGACTTTTCCGAAACAAACAAGGAGTATGAATCCTTGCAGTCACGAAAGCTTCAAATCTAGAAAGAGTGCAAACTGCCCGCATGGGATGGCTTTTCCAATTAATTTCAGTTGCATTACGGAATACCGCAATGATCTTTCTTCTTTAATAATGGTAGCAGCATTACAGTACTCTACCGTTACATTCTGGCACACCTTCAAAATTAAATATCTCTTTACATTTGAGGAGCCCAATAATATAGCAGTGTCCCACTGTTGTGCCTTCCTGCTGTTTGTCAAGCACACCTTTGTGTGTTGTTAAATCTGTTTCCAGCCTGCACGCATTTTCCTGTTGTAATGGGTTTTCTCATCGTGTATAGAAGTTGGATTTGAATTATTGTTGCCTTTCGGCAAGTGCTATTGGGGTTGACTGTAATATAGAGGTAAGCCCCTCCATATATTGACTCCCAGAGGCATAAATAAGGCAGCAGTATGACTGTACTCTACTGCTGAGTCATAATGAGAATGAAACTAATCTACAGTCTCGATTTAAAGCTTTCGTGACTGCAAGGATTCATCTTCTTTGGTTCTTTCGGTAAAGTCACGTAGAATGAGAATAAAATAATAAATATAATTATTATAAATATTATAAATATAATTATTATTTTATTCTCATTCTACGTGACTTTACCGAAAGAACCAAAGAAGATAATCTACAGTCGTCTGTTTCACTGCTAACTGTTGGGATGGTGACCTTTTCCAAAAAAATAATTGATGGCCTAAACAATAATTATGACCACATTTAGCTCTACCGAGCTGTTGGACTAGACACGTTCGTAAATGCAATGTGGTGATCACGTGACACGCATGCAAGGCATGATGGGGATTAGTGCCTTCTTTGCTTTGTGTATCGTGAATTCTACGATCAAGCTCTGCAATTATTTAAACTGTTCAATGGATCAAATATGGTCTTTGAAATTCACCTGAAATGAAATGTCCCACAAAACAATTGTTGACGATCAAATTAATCAATAATTTCTTCATTTGGAGAGAGAAAAGCTTGCCGATTTGCAATGTCTCTTCGTTAAATACCTTCATACGAGTATGGAGCATACACCTTGTGACTTGGACAAACATAAATTAAGAGATTGCATGACCAATAAAGGTATGAATTAAATTATTATTATTAAATTCAAGTGTTCACATGGGGGCTCCACCAGCAGGACAGTTAAAATCCCTGAATTCATCCAATTTGTGTGTGCTGCCAGCAAATCCATCACTGTCGAGCCGTAACACTCACATCACCCGAAGCAGACCTAAGCCAAAATTCAACATCACCCCTGCTGCTCTCAGAGCCCTGTATGCATGTGATGACGTTGTTATAAAACTTTGCAACAAAAGTGCTGTGTTGGACTGGAAGACGGACTTGTGTAAAGAGTAAGCAGTCAGACAACTGTGTGACGTCTCTTCTTGCTGCGCAGTTGACCTCGCAGCAAGACATCAACAAACAGCCGAGGATTTGTGACACTTTTATCAGTCTGTGTGACTTGCCTGAGAATGTAAAAAATACCTCATTACCCAAACTCCTCAAACACAAACCATCTATTTCCTGCCCACGGTACACAATGGTATCAGTCTATACTCTATAGTTTTCCTTCCGAATTAAACTTGGTATATTTGGCCATTATTCCTTCATTCGTTCGTCCCCTGCCGACCGACATTAAGGACACAAATCATGCTCCACAGCTGTTTAAAAACCTTTGGCTTTCACGTTTGCAGGGTTTTTGTATTTTACATTAGATATCAGTTCCATATATAGTAATTTCCAATGACGGTGACCTACAAGTACAACCACACTTCTTTTGTGCCCAGACAGAACAGACTCCATCCACTGCAACATTCCTAAAGTGTGGCAAAACTTGTGTTCAACCTCAAAAAGTTGTATATCCAACGTATGCCACTAAATCCAGATGAGTGACGTGGCTATGGATACGTGTATGAGTCTTTGTATATACCAATGCCTTTATGGATATTTAGAGCAGCAAAGTTCCCAACAATATATAGGGACAAAACTGATTGTTTTGGTAGATACATTTTGACTGTGCGAGCAAGCATCAGCTCTTGCTCTAAAGAGGGCCTCAATTACTTTATTTGATTTACTAACACCTTCCATTCATCAATACAATTCAGCGAAATAATAGAAAGACAGCCTGTCCTTTGTAGATGTAGGGAGGGTAGGGTTTTCATCAACACGGAGTGAATAGCTTATTTTCCACTGGAAAATAACCTTAAACATTTTTAGATGGTGCCCTCTCGGTAGACCATGAAGCAGAAAAACAACCGGTCAGCTGACAAATGACAGGGTTCCATTTGTATTAACGTACCACCCATCAAATCCTGAACATGCAAAAATAATCCTCAACCTTCACATTCTCAACAGTGACACAAACACTTTGGTCATGTTTCAAGGCGTCACCTTTGCATTTGGCAGAGTACAGCCTCTGAGACCTGCTGGTGCCCAGCTCTTTGGTTTTGGTTTTGTTCCAGATCTTTTAAGGCTCTGCGGTGATACACAGCTTCACCATGGCAAGAGCTAATTGAAAATAACAATTGGCATTGCACCAATCGTACGATGCTGTTCTACAGTAACATTCAATCATTTAATCAGTTTATATGTACATTTTTGAGCAGGGCAAAAAAATGCGGTTTTAATGACACTTTTTTGTCAGTATGCACTTGCACCCTATTACTAATGCCAACCCTTTTAATTTGCATCGCAACAGATGTGGGCCTTGCCTGTCTCCTTGTGGGTCGTGCAGGTGAGCCTGGGGACCAGCGACACGGTTTTCCTGTGGCTGAAGGAGCCACGGCCGGCACTGGAAGGACACGTGTTCTGCAACCCCATCTGCCAGGAAGCCTACATGGCCCTTATCTGGTGAGTGCAGCCCTCGGCTTCAAACAACCCGGGCGTGGAATGCTCCATGCCGTCAGCTGCCCTGCTGCATTTCAATGCCTTGTTTCGTTGGGGTCACACCCGGGCTGTGTTGCTGCCGTAATGTCACCAGCAGGACATGTGCAGCCTTCTGTGACATCGCCCCAACATGTCGGAATGCATTCTCCTGTTACTTTTTATTGGTCGTAAACAGTGTTTGCTTGTTATGGGGGGGGGGGGGGGTGACCGTAAGTTGCATTTTCTTGATTACATTTTTAATTGGTTCAACTTATGCAGGAGATGGGACTGCCTTTATTATGTTTATGTCCAGGCGGCTGAATAAAACTGCACAAACTGATAGAGTTTGTATAACATTAATCATTTTGTTCCCACAGCTACATGGTAGTTGCTGTAGAGATTTAGCAAAGCATGCCATCTGTTGCAATTTGAGCATTAATTGGAATGGCCATTGGTGGCTTATGACAGCCAATGGATATGATCACCACTTAGTGCTTGTTAGAGCATGGGAACAGGTTGATATTTTTGTTTTGAACGAAATGTCACCCAATTAGCCAGGCTTCCTTAATAAAAAAAAAAAGATGTATTTTAAAATAACACTCCTTTGCCTTTTATTTGCATCAAACCCTTCCATATTTTGTGGCCGTTAAGGAGTGGAAGAGTGGCAGCACTGTTGGGAATTGCTCTGTTTTTGTGCCTGCACACTGCCAGCTCACGTGCGAGCCCAACCCGTTCTGTTGTCCGCACCCTTGCGTGCGTGTGCATCCGTTACAGTTACCAAGATGTGTTGTTGTGTCCCGCTTAACTCTACTGTCCCACTCCCCCTGTTCAACAGCGCATTCATGGTATTTCCCCATGATTAATTGCTTCCTTTATCCAGGGTTTCCTCCCTTTTCAGCATGGAGGCAGCTCTTTAACCCATCCACTCGAAACTCTTTTCTGCTCTCACTGCTACCAATGGGGCTCCTTGTACCAGAAACATTTGAGTGACCAGGTCATTGTTCTTGTCGAATACAATGTCCGCAACAGTCCTTGGCTGTAGAATAACCACACAACTTGTAATGTTGGCTGCGAAGCTGACATTGTGCAGTTGAGAGGAACCTTGAACAACGAGTGAACGGTGCTACTCACCTCCCTGATTATATTTGAGATTGGAACAGTTTCCTAGGCCTTTTCCTGAGATCTGAATATGTTCTAACTATTTTTAACTAACTCTTTTTATATTACCAGAGAAGGCCCATTGGGCTATTAGGCTCTTTTTCAGAAGTGACCTGACCACAAATGATAGCTGAACGAAGTGGCTTATGTAGAAATTTATAGCAGACAAATAGTCCAAACGGATGTTTCTAAACAAGGCGGGAAAAACCAGATGACCGTGAGAAAAACAACCACATGAGACAATGCGTATTCACAGTGCATGATGTGTGTCGTATACTCTCAGGAATAATATTTACAAGCCTTGGGGTCCTGACACCATACCAAATGTCGTACCTATAATGTGTGCCCCAGAAATATCACCAGTTTGTCACATTTCCAAGCTATCACAGACCACATGCTACTACCAACCTGGAAGTGAGCTTGCCTCCTGCCAATTCTAGAGAAAGGATGATCCATCTTACGTGATAACTATCGTCCTATTGCTCTGACCTCATTACTTTTGCAAAGTGATGGAATCTGTCATCAATAATCAGAATCTACATCACTTAGAATCGATAGCACTTCTTGGGGACCATGGCTCCTGGCAAGCCCATTCTAATGGGGATTTCCTAGTTTACGTGACTCACATCTGGATCTCTAGACATTAGCATTTTGGAGAGTCCACGACTCTTGCTCTTGACATTCATAACGTGATTGTGTCTGGTATCCAACACCACTTGCCAAGGTACCATCATGTCGGGTTCCACACTCATCTGAAAGCTTGAGTTTTCTCTTTTTTTCTACAGACAACTCAATATATGCGATTTAAAGCTTTCGTGACTGCAAGGATTCATCTTCTTTGGTTCTTTCGGTAAAGTCACGTAGAATGAGAATAAAATAATAAAATAATAAAATAACACAATTAAATTGTCACGACGTTTTGGCCACAACACAAGTGGTGCCTCTGTGGATGTGTAGGCTTTGACTTTAACATAGCCATTTCTGTGACCAGTCACAAGCTAATCACTCAGCTATTTCAATGCTAAATTCTCCTGTTTGATATGTAAACCCCTTTGTCAAGGTGCCTCACTTCTCTAAACCAGCTTAAAAGACGCTACAAATCTTAACAACGTTCATTGAAGCTCTGTCGTCCCGACAGGTCTGTTCCATTCATCTGAAGAAGGCCACTTGTGTTGTGGCCGAAACGTCGTGAGAATTTTATTGTGTTATTTTATTCTTTTATTCTCATTCTACGTGGTGACTTTACCGAAAGAACCAAAGAAGATCAATAGCAACCTGTTTGGCACCTTCACCATCAACTGTGCTGTAAGACACAATTCTGTCACCGACACCATTCTTCTCTTCATTAGTGACTTATCTTCCAACAATATACGCAGTTTCTTTGCTGATGGCAGCACTCTTCACTCCATATATCCATTCAAATCATAAGCAGAGATCAGCAGACTATTTGCTGTCCAAAGTGCTAAGACGTCAAGGACATGGTTACTTTCAACTTGAATGAAACCCAGTCATTGCTAATGTTATAAGGTTGTTAATACCGTGGTTCCTATGATCGCATTTCAGAATGTTGATCTTATCCGTATTGAATACACCAATCTGCTTAGCATGAGCATTTCATTTGACTTGCTTTAAAACAGTTGCATTGCTAATCTGACTAAAGAGGCATGAAAGCAGCTTGTATTTCTATTTCGTGCCAAATCCTTCTTCAGCTCTAATCGGTCACTAATACTGTACAGAGGGTAACCCTTGTCAGTTGTACCAGTATTGCCACATTTGCTGTGGAACTCCTTGTCCTTACGAGGCTCTATTGTGTTCAACAGACTCTCTCGCCGTCGTTCGGTTTTACTTTTATTGCTTTAAGTCACTTTCCTATGCACAGATTCGTCCGTGAATCGTTTTCTCTGGATGGCCATTTCTTGTAATCCATCATGTGTCAAAAACACCATATTGTAGGATAGACCATTTGTCTTTCTCCTTTATTTCTGCACCACTCAACTTTAGATTTCCTATTCTTGGTTCTTTCGGTAAAGTCACGTAGAAGGGAAACAATAAAGTAGTAAAAAAAATGGTCTTGCTCTGGTTTTCACACCTGATGACGATTGCTTGCGTTGCAGTCGAAACGTCGTGAGACTTTTATTGTTTTATTTTTTATTATTTTATTGCTTCCCTTCTACGTGGTGACTTTACCGAAATAGCCAAGGATATGAATCCCTGCAGTCACGAAAGCTTTAAATCAAAATTTTGATTTGCTATAGACTTTTTTTACCCAAGTTCCTCTAACCTCAAACATATTAGTTATTATCTGCTAGACACACATCAACGCTCTTAGCTGTTGGCTAATTTGCGTCATAGTATGTGAGGTCAGTGCTCAGAAAATGTGCTTTTTTTTCTTCTCAGCAACAAGGTTCTCCTTCAGCTGAGAAAAAAAGTCCCTCATTAATATATATTGTGAAGGGGCAGTTAAACTAAAAAGGCCAATCAATATGTTTTATTTTATATATTAACTGAAGCAAAAACAAACATAATATTTGCACAATTTAGAGACACAGTTCTTATAAAGTCATGAAAGACAAGTGTTTCCTTACTCAGAGAAGCAATGAGCAGTGTTCATATATTTTACCGCGTCTGGGTCAGCAGTGCAAATACCACATTCCAACGATGGGCGCTATTTTATCCACAGCACAACCACTGTCAGATTTCCACAAAGTGGTACTCATGTTATTGACCCTGGAGGGGAATGACGAGCTGAGTCGACCACGGACTGGCATTTTAACTGACGACATTCCCAATTTTCAGTAGAGTGTTCTGCCATGGTGCTGACCACTACATCGCTGTTCATGGAACCTTTCAATCTAATTCTACTTCTGCATGACAATTGCTGAAAGGCTTAACTAAAGCATGTCTTGTGCTGGAAATGGACGGTGAAAACCCTCACTGTCACTCGGATAACTAGCAAGGTGCCACTTTATAGATCAACAAATAAGTGAGTGCCATTCACGTCCCAAGTGCCCCTCGAGTCGTGTCTTGTCTTGGAAGAACAATTCCTATCGCAAATTACACATGGATTCAGATTAAATAGTGAAGTGGCAAGCATTATCAAATCACACCTGCTCTCATCAACTAAAACTACGCTTCAGATCAATTTTATTTTTAATCCAGGCGGTGGTGTAGATTTAGGGCTTGACTGACAGACCAATGGTTTATCGTTCAATTCCCTGTTTCAGGCTAACTTTTGCCTATTATATTTGCAGAGTTGATAAACTAAGTATCATTATTTAAGTGGTTATACCATGGAGCAGTTGTTCTCTGCCATGAGCTTCAGGCCACCAACATAGAGGAACATGACCTGATAGCTCATGTTCATAGGCAGACTTTTGAATACCACTTTTGTGAGTGAAGACAGAACGTTTGGCAGCACAGAAGTCAGCTTGCGGCATGAGCGAATGGCTGCTTTAAAGGGACCCTCAGGGTTTTGAGGTCACCATATCTAAACCAGAGGCTACTGGATGCACAATGACCTCCAGAGGTATGAAAATAAAACTGGTGGGTAATCGTTGAAAGTGATTCACTTTTAATATTTCTTGAAGCTACACATCACCCAGCAGGCCACATAAACAATGCTTGTTCAGCGGAGTGCTAGGTCCTTGCAGTCTTCCAAGCCTCGAATCCACATGCGGCTTCTCCTTTAATAATCGGCTGTCTGTGCAGTGCCTGCAGCAGCAACTTTTCACGTAAGAATTAATTCTGGCTGGTACCCAGGGGAGGCTCAAATCCCGTGTCTTCCTCACACCTCCCCCAGGCACAAATTAAATACCCCACGATGTCCA